GTGCTGTGTGTGTGTGCATCTAAGGCACCAGCATGCCCCAATGGACCTTGAGCATGCTTCGATCGCTGCGGCCACGTTAAGGCCCGCCCAAAGGCTGCCTACTCCTGACCGCTGCGGTCACCTCGCGGCGTGCCCGTAGGCTGCCTACTTGTATTCAATACTTCTTGTGGGACACTCTTGTATGACACTCACTCTTGCGGAACACTCTTGTAGGACATTCTTGCGTAACACTCTTGTAGGACACTCTTGTGGGACACTCTTGTGCGCCGCTCTTGTATGTCACTCTTGTGGGACACTCTCGTAGGACACTCTTGCGGGACACTCTTGCGGAACTCTCTTGTAGGACACTCTTGTGGGATACACTTGTAGGACACTCTTGTTGGACACTCTTGTGGGACACTCTTGTAGGACACTCTTGTGGGACATCCTTGCAGGACACTCTTGCGGGACACTCTTGTGGGACACTCTTGTTTGTCACTCTTGTGGGACACTCTTGTGCGACACGCTTGTGAAACAGTCTTGTGGGACACTCTTGCCGGGCACTCTTGTATGTCACTCTTGTGGGACACTCTCGTAGGACACTCTTGTCGGACACTCTTGTGGGACACTCTTGTACGCCACTCACTCTTGCGGGGCACTCTTGCGGAACACTCTTGTAGGAGACTGTTGTGAAACACTCTTGTATAGGAGACTCTTGTGGGACACTCTTGTATGTCACTCTTGCGGGACACTCTCGAAGGGCGCTCTGGTCGGACACTGTGGTACTTCAAGTCTGCAAAGCGAGCGTTTCGTTCGAGACTTCCTCCAAAAGTCACATGTCAAGTCTCCAAAACGAGCATTTCGCACGAGACTTCTTTCAACATTCACTCGTCAAGTCTCCAAAACGAGCACTTCGCACGAGACTTCTTACAAAATTCACTCGTCAAGTCTCCAAAACGAGCGTTTCGCGCGAGACTTCCTCAAAAACTCACACTTGAAGTCTGCAAAACAGGGACGTTTGCCTCCACCACAACTCGCAACCTCACGACTCCCTGCGCCTGCCACGAAAACTTACGCGTCCACACGTCTGACATGCACAAAGTACTGCGCCTGCCACAAAATTTGACCTCCGCCACACCTCGCAACCTCCTGCCCCTGCCTCGATTATCGTACTTCCACACCTCAAGACCCGCACAAAGTACTGCGCCTGCTACGAAAAAGTGACCATATCATATCATGTGAGCTTCAACAAAATTTGCACCACACCACACGCTTGGAATGATTTCGACACGTTCTGACCACAGTCGCCATTTCGGCTGAGACTTCTCACGAAAACACAGCTTCGATGCAACACCCTGAAACGCAAATCCCCATGTGACAGCCACATCCAACACCCCAAAGAAACGAAAAAACACCACTCTCCAAACGCCAATCCCAATGTGACTGCGCAGAAAACTGCCGATCTCACAAAACGCTGCACCTGCGCAGTGAAATCATCAAGAAAGGTGGTCTGAACATCTTCGAATCCTCAAAGGCCTCCAAGTCCATCGTCGAGAGCCCCAACGAAAGCGACAAATGCGTGCATGACTGCAGAGCTCAAAAACTGATGCAATGGCCATGGCCAGCGACTTGTTCTAGTGACAAAGGGGCCCAGGAGGAAGTAAGTAGTAATCACTGCAGGTACGTCTGGCTGATCAGGCCAGATATCAGCATGGAGCTTGACCCTCTTCGTTGGATCACCAGTCAAGTCCGTGGGTGATCCCCCTGCAAGAAAAACCTAAAGGTTCCTTGTGATTCCAAGGGTCTCACGCACACACACACACACTTTGTCTGTCTACGTGCTCTGTTGCCATGGGATGCGGTCGATTGTGTATGATGTGTATGGGATTGTGCAAAAATCGTGGGCTTTCGATCCGCTGCTCATGGAAGGTACATGAGAACCTATTATTGGGCCTCCACGAATGCTTCCTTCTCGAACCCATTTCTGCCCCCTTCTCTTGAAACACCCGCGGCACTAGACACAGTCATTTCCACATCCAGCCCATTCCCACACGGTTACACGTCACCTGCAGTTCGATCACGCTTCGAAGGGTCGCAGCAGTCCTTGGTCGAATCAAGAATCGCCGCCGTTCGCTTCGCGCGCCGACGGCGCCGACGTCGCAGCGTTCGCTTTGGCGCTTGCGCCGAGACTCGTAAGCCACGACTCGTCACATGTGACAGTACTCGACTCGACGACCCTTGAGATGGGGACCCCTGACTTGTGCGACCGGTATCTCTTAGCCATCGCGAAACTGCAAGCTACCGAAGACTCGCGTAGAGCTTCGCCAAGTCGCTGGAAACCAACACTTCATGGTCGCCACAGTTCATGTCCCTACCTTTCAGCAGTTCTCAAAGAGAACTGAACATGCAAGTCGCAAGTTCACAAAAAAAATGCTCGCCACAACACAGGCGCCCACCCACTCATTGTTCACCTCCGCTTCCTTCAGTCCTTCAACTCCCCCGACGCGCTGCCACGCGCAACGCGCTGCCCCGCTCTGGGCACTCCGCGCTGCCGCAGCGGCAGGCGCCGTGCCTGGAGGATCGGCCGCACCGCCAGCGAGACCTGAAGGTCGGCACCGAGACGCTGGAGCCTTTGGGTGAAGCCAATGGTGAAATAGATTCACCTATAGGCAGATTCACGTGGTGGGTGACAGGATGTTTGTTCCGGGGCCGTTTTTGTTCCTGTCCTTCGACATAAAACTATCTGATAATGTAAAGATAATATAGATAACCTGCGTGGAAGATACTGAATTGTCTTGATCCTGAATGCATGTTCATCCATCTCCAAATGTCAATGTCTCCATTCTCATCCATTCTCATCCATTCTCCACCTTCCAGTCTCCCTTGATCCCTCTGGGGACCAAACCAAGAACTCGTGCGCCTGCCGAAGAACCGTGGCCGTGCCGTGATCACCGGTTCCGAACCCGAAGAACAGAAGTCCAAGCCCTTTGGATCTGAAGAAACGTCAAGAAAGATCGCCAGAGGTCCTTAATGACTATTGGAAGAATATTGGAGATGTTTGTGGGGGAGGCAGTTGAAAGTTCCGTTCGCGCATCTCAAAAACGGATCCAATTGAAAGAGTTTAGTAGGATTGCCACTCACCCGATCACAATGCTTGGGGGTCTTCCGAACCACTGGCTGGACTGGCTGAGATTCCCGGACGGGCGTCCAGCTGTCGCCTTTCGGCAGCGCATGCCTGACCAAAGGGCCGGACCCTTTGGTTAAGGAGTTAAGGAGGTGAAATCTGTCAGTCCATCCAGGAAGAGGACAGAACCCATGTCCAGCTAAGCTATGTTTGCTTGAAAACGAACACAGAGATCATGCAGCGCATCTCTTTCACTCATCTTGACAGCGCAAAAAGATGAGTGAAGCTAAGCTGAAGCCCATGGTCGTCCTGATTTGCTCATCCCTAAAAGACCCTGGTCGTACTCTTGGACCATAGGGACCGCCACGCTACAGCAACGTGTCATGAAAACGTGACATGAAAACTACAGCAACGTGTCGCTGGCGCAAAAGTGTTGGGCCTTTAGGCCGCTTCGCGACGTCTTCAACTCCACGTCTGGTGCGGACGAATCGGTCAAAACCGACCGTCTAAACCGATGTCCCACAGCGTCGGACCGTTTGACACACCAACTCCACCGCCGTTCACAATCGTTGTTCGCCTCAAGACCTCATTCGCATCGCTCACGCCTCGGGGAAGCAGCGGGGCGAAGGTCAAGGTCGACCACCCGGGCCACTCAAAGGGGTTGTGGTGTTTCGAGTTGCCCGAGTTGCCCAAAACAGAAAAAGAGCGACTGTCCAAGTGTTGGGTGTGATGAAGCCCAAGTGGGCTTGAACTGAACACCAATTCGCAAACTTTGCAAAGATGAAATTTGAGAGTCTCAAGCATGACATGTCCGTCTTCATCGGTCGGAGACCAGAGATTTGGACGAGAACCTCCAAGCTCCCGAGCTCAAGGTGCCAGGCCTCGACCGACTCACCCGGACGGTCCCGAATCGCCCTCAAACCCCGCCCGCACGGGCGCCTCAAATGACCCAGGGTTTCTTCATCCTTCAAATTATGGTTAAGAGAATTGAAATTCGATCGACCGCATTCTGCAGATCCAATATCTTTGGTGTACCTCCCCTCTGAACATCATCTAATTGTTGGGAGACTAGGCACCAGTGGCAGCGGCTACAAGCTGCGCACTACGTTCCAAAATGCCACATGTCTATATACTGTTGACAAGCTCTGATTGGGGAAGCTGCTGTGGAACCGCACGCGGTCTGCGACTGTTTTCTTGAAGCCCAAACAAAAGGAGCCTCTTCCAGGACTCAAGCACAAAGCCACGGACGCTTTTTAAACCTCTTGGCACCCTACCTCACCAGGCTCCAAGATCGAGGTGAGAGGATGAGAGAAGCTATCAGGCGTACAAAGCCCCAGGAGGCAAATCAGAAGAGCTTGGATCCAGTTTTGTTCTGACGTGAAAAACAGCCATCCATGGGCCTTGCGTTTGGAATGGAAGCTTTCCACATACGTTTGGAAGCTCGGCTGCGTCGATGCACCGCCCACGTCGATGCTCGTCACGTCGATGCTCGTCACGTTGTTCAGATCGGTGCTGGACACCGCAGCGGCTTTACGGAGCGAACGCACGGCCTCACGGCCTCACGGCCCCACCGCGGAAAGACCCAAAAACAGGCAGCTGTAGATGGCTGTAGATCCCAGATACAGGGTGGGCCAGAAAATCCAGAAACGATTCAAATGAAAAAGAAACGTGTTTGATCCTCTTTTTCAGATTAGATATTCACTTCGTCATTGGAAGAAGGAGTCTATCTACCCTATATAAGTTCCATCATCCATATCGAGTTGGATTCACAAACAAACACCACACAGCAGCAAACATCAAACGCAAAACCAAGAGCTTTGCCAGCCTTCACCAGAACAAGAAGGAGAAGATCTGCTTGTTCAAACCGCTGCTGGAACACGCCATGATGCCATGTGGACTATGTGCACTCTGCTTTTCCCTGCTGCTTTCTGGCAACATACCTCAGGTGGGCGGCGGGCGGGTGAAAAAGAAGTTGACTTGCAAATTTCTCAGATTTTGTGGACTCTTCATTCACTCAAACTCAAATCGCCGGCGTTTGCCTTTAAAACACACACTCGGTCTGCATCTTCTTCTCCACTGTGGGACAGATTCGTCCGTCGCCACGTGACATCCCGTGACCCACGTAGGTTCTGCTGGGCTTCCCCAAAATGCCGAACACGATGGTTGTCAAAAAATAGAGTCAATGTCAATCTGATGCCATCTGCTTGTGATTCCCTATAAATAAGTATAATTATAGATGAAACCACGCGGCGTTATCTCCCGTGATTCCTGTGGCAGGCGGCATGTAGAGGTGCTTCGGGGGACCATCGCGACGTCCCTCGTAGTTCCTGACTTGGTTGGTTTGGAAACAGTTCTTTGGTCGACGAGAAACAGGAGACACTGAGAGTGTTTGCACCTTCCATGATGAGTTCAGGGAGTGTACATCCGTAACAGTTGGATGGAAAGGCAGCATCGTGCTGTGCATTCAAGTCCAAAAAAAGAACAGTTGTGTCGGTCGTGCGCCGGACTTGATGGACCTGGAAAACATGCTTACCTGCACAAGTTGCCCAAGGGCTAGACTTCTTGGTCCCCATTAGAGCAAAAGTTCCTGAATAACAAGCTGTTGTGCTAGCAAGCACATCGTCAGGGACTTCCCAAAATTCAGGCTGAGTGGGGGTCCACCTTAGTCTCGTCGTCTCACCACAAAGCAACCAAACGACTCTGCCAACAAACTGTGGAGGTGCCAAGCCTGTAGCGTCACCCAGGGGCCTTTCATCCTCATCAAGACGGCCCCTGGAGTCACCCTGTTTCGGGACCTTGGGGGGCGTTCCGCGGAGATGCTGGGTGCCTTTCGACACCTCGCCCTCTGGCGCCCGAAACACTCATAAAAGTCACTGCCACTGACCACTGACCACTGGTTTCAGTGAACCCCAATGGTCAGAACCCCCTTTGGAATACTCGGTGAGCCACCGGAGTTCTCCGCCGTTCTCCGCGGAGAGCGGCGCGCTTTTTCGGACCCGGCGGCTCATTCTCGCACACCAAGACCTCCACTTCCCAACGTTCACCATGCGCGGTGGACTCCTCGGCGGGTCGGCGTGGCGTTGGTGTTTCGGACGCACCATAAAACTCAGACCGTGGAGGACATGGGAGGAGATGGAAACCGTAACCAAAACAGCATCAAGGTTTCCAGTGGACTCTGCCGTCCGAATCGCGGTCCAGTTCTTCGTGTGGAGGACGTGTCCTGGACAGTGACGACCCCACACGCCACACTCGCCGAACCGGCAGCACTCGCCGAACTGGCAGCTTTTCGAAGAGCCTCTGAGCGCCATGTCATCAAGCGTTCACATGTATCCACATGTATCCTCAATATAAGCTCCATAGGATTCCATTTTTGTCCACTTGAATCATGAATCTGGAAAGATCTGGAAGGGAAGATGGTTTTCTCTGACTCTGGTGTAGGTTTCTTTGACTTTGTGGACTCCCGAATATGGATTCCATCCATTTCATTCCATTCACACCTGGGGCCGAAGAGGGGCCGAACCGGCGCCAGGAACGGAACGGCCGAGGTGGACCCCGGGGCGTCCGACCTCCGAACCGGTTCGATCCAATCCGTCAAGACCAGCGAATCCGGATGGACACCGATGGACACGTGCAGCTCCAGTATCTTCAATCGATGATGGGTTCGAGTCCCGCATGCGTTCGTCTTGCGCAAGATGAACCGCAAGATGAACAGATTCTGAGTTGCTGGTGATGAACACTTAGAGACTTAGAGATGCCAAAGCTTTGGGCAGCCACTTCTGTCACTTCTCAGCCATGCCTGTTTGGAGATTCACATGGCTCTGTTCCAGAGGAGCCCCTCTTCACTTCACTGGAATTCCAGGCGAGTCTGTTTTCGGTTGTTTCCGCGAAAGCCTCACCCGCGTCGTCTTCAGGAAGGACCCAAGCGTCAATGGCGGACTGAGCATCTTCAGGTGGATTCAGGCTCACACAAAGATAGACCTGAGTGGCCAGAAACACCATGACAAACCGTCCCACCATGACAAACCGTCCCACCGTGGCATACGAGGCCCCCGAACGAATGAGGCGTCTTACCGTCCCAGAGTCCGTCGCCGCCATCCGATCCGTTCGGCCATCGCCCTGCCGGCCGTGCGAACCGGGTCACGAGGCCGTCGGACCGACCGAAGACGTCGGACGAAGACGTCGGTGCCGCCCTGCGACGCCATCGTCTTGCAGAATGCGGTGCACCTCTGATGACATGCCTGGGGCGAGTGGAACGGAAGACTGGTTTGGCGAGCGACTGGTTTGGAGAGCGCCTGCCCAAGAAATCACGAAAAATCACACCCACCCATCCACAACGAAAACTGCCCAACCAACCAACCAATCGCCCCGTGGCGTCAGATCCTTCCAAACCACACATCTCTCCACTTCAAGGGGCGCCCGGTGGCTTCGGGCCCACGGCACTTCAGGGCGTCCAGCGTGCTTTTGTCGAAGACCACGTCGAAGTCCTTCGCCTCCAAGGTCGACGTCAAGTCGCAGGCGTCCTCGGGGAACCGGGGCGCGCCGGCGCAACGAATGAACGTCATGCCAGGAGAGGTTAAGTGACCTTATAGGACCATTCTGGGGTACCTATGGGATCGTCTATAAGGTTCTTCAACCTCTGTTGGTGTTTGAGTTGGTTCATTCCTCTGACCGTGTTTTACGGGGTTGTTTCGTGGGAGCGGGTCATGTCTGGCCAAGGTTCGGCTAGGACGTACTTCATGTTGGGCCGCTGGGTCGCATTCTTTTGCCTGGATTGAAAGAGTCTTGTTGGACACTCAAGCAGACTGAAGCAGTCCCCACCCATCTGATCGACCACAGAAAGATGCAGAATGAAGAACATATCGTTCTGCAGAGAAGAAAGAAAGGACCATGTCACAAAAAGAATCGTCTTTTTTTTTGGGATGTCTCGAGGCTGTTCCATAACTCAGGATGCTGAAGAACATGGTACATTTGGAAGTTGAAGTTGAAGATGCGTATGAGTACCAAACATTCAGTTCTCTCTCTCTCTTCTATATATATATATATTATCAGGAAAATGCACGAGCCTTGTCGCACTCAAACTTTTCTTCGAACAAAAGGGCTGTCGGGTGTCTATGTCTCAACTCAACGGTCAATCGAAACACTTCACAAAGCAGGAGGGGATTCTGCTCTCCCCCCCGAACTCTGTCAGGGTCACTGAATCCCCCAACCACACACATATAGTGCACTCTTCGCACCATCAAAAGGAAAATTCCACATTTGGCAAAAAGGAACAACTCTGTGTTCAAGCTCAGGCCCTTTCTGACTCCGTCAGAGCACTAGGTCTTGGGCCCCTAAGGAAAAACAAAAGACTCACTTCGCTCCCAGCAGCATTCACCCTTCGAATCACGCTAAGGACAAAGCTCGCTCTCATCCATTGGCCTTCGACCACCGCTCTGAGTGAGCGCCATGATCACCACCGCACTCAATCAAGAATCGGGAGTTCCCGCTTCAGCATGAGCCAGTGCCAGCACCAACTGAACTCTCAAAAAATTCTGAGACCCGAAGCAAAATGCTACAGCCTGACCATCGCTGTTGCAGATAGTGCATCTGGTGACTGCCCTTTCGAGCATCCGTTCGGATCGCCTTTCTCCCATCTTCAAGCCATGCAAGGAAGAAAATGAGTTTGCGCATGCACGAGTGAGTGGTCGAGTGGTGGCTTCATGTGCCTTGCCTTGCAGCCTCTTCTTTGAGACGTTCACTTCGAGTTTTTGGAGCGTTTGAGACAGGAGGAGCTTCGAGCGTTCTCTTGGCTGCTAAATGATGGTGTCCTTCGCATTGTAGGCAACATGCCGGTGAATGGTGCGCCGCAAGAAGTGGTGGGGCAATTTCCCAGAGCTTTGGTGACCCTCAAGACCCATCGGCATGGAGGTTGGCGCAAGAAGCTCTTTGATAGTGACATGTCAGAGCCTCCATCCTCACGTGGGCTTGCTTCAACGGTCGTCGCCCGAACCTTCGTGCCCAGGATGACCACTTTGACGTAGGCCCCCCTCTGGTAGAAGACCTTCTTCTCCTTGTCCTGCGCTGCTTCTCTCACTCCGCACTGCTGGACCTGAACTGCCAAACCCGTCACCACCTCGGATTGTCCGAGACAACTCTGAAGACACCACCATTGGAGACTCCGAGATCTTCTGAATGACGAGCTGTGGGATTCGGTCCCCAACCTCGAAGGACTTGGCTTCAGCAAAATGACCTTCACTTCACCCCTATAGTCGGCATCCACCACACCACCGGCCACATCAAGCCCTTGAGCCGCCATAGAGCTCCTTGACGCGATGCGCCCATAGCACCCTCGCGGGACATCTACAGCAATTCCCGTCGAAATCAATCTTCTTTCCCCCGAAGGAATTTGGAACGCCATCGAAGTCGAAAGATCCCAACCTGCCGCCTGATCTGACCCTCTTCGAGGAACAGTTGCATCTTCACTCAGCAATTTCACCTTCACCTCTTCCTTCCCGGCCAAGAGCTTCTTCACCATGCCAACGCCAACGTCCTTGACGATATGCAAAAGACACACCAAGCCTGCCAGGACCACAAACCAGCCCAAATCTCCAAACATAGATGGTGATTGAGCCTGTTCTTCTCCCTTCTCACACACCTCACTTGCAGCCGTCTGGGGAATCAAAGAAAGCACCTGCAATCATCATAGCCATGCACCTCGAAAGCCTGACTCCCTCCTCCCGAGCTAGGACAACCTTCTCCGCCCCTAGGATGGCCTGATCTCGGCAAAGAAAAAGTCCTCGACGCAGCTTCTCGAGCGACTGAGCCGGCAACGACTTCGTGAGTCCATCTGCCCACAATGAAGTTCCCATTCTATGGGCCAAGGTCACCTCCTCAACTTGCAACGCTTCTGCCAAACAGCTTGCCCGGTTCTCAGCCTTGGAGTGTGCTGGTCGAAGAATGTGTGTTGCTCCTCCATCCAACAAAGCTCTAGTATGTCCAGGGCCCTTATTGACCGCACAGACCGTCACCGCCTTGATGGAAGGCCTCAGGGATTTGAGAAGCTGCACTGCCTCCTTCACCAGCGCTTCCGCCGGAGCCGGTTCACCGTCATTTGGTGGAAGGAACAAAGCCGAAGAACCATTGGATGACCCTTGTGCCTCACCCGTCTTGCCCTCAGCCTCCTTGCCCTTCCGATCATCACCAATCTCCTTTTTCACACGCGGCACCTCCTTGACTGGGCACTCTGATCGCATGTGTTGCGAGGAACCGCAACCAGCACCTTCCCATCTTCGAGATTCCTTTCCACTCATGTGGAAACGAACACTTCTGTCCTTTCTTGCATCCAGCTTCCGACAGAAAATATCTGCACACTGGTTTCTCTCCTTGGCCACCTTTGCCATCAGCCTTTCCTCCCTCGGAGTCTGCCTTGCCACCCTTCTGGTCTCGGCTTTCACGAGGTTCTTTGCCATCTGAACCCTCTTTGGGCCTCTCCTTGTTTTCTTTCTTGGCCCCATCCTCCTTCGCATTCGTCTGCTCGCCATCAAGGAACTTGACCTTCACTGTCTCCTTAATTGGAAAGCGTTGACTCCAGCCGCATTCTGTAAAGAGCACCCGCAACTCGAAGCACTTCACTCCACCACAAAGAAGAACTTGAACTCATGTCCCGCATGAAAGGGCCTATGGTGGTGATCCAATCACCTGCAAGGTCCCACCTCCGACTCTGACAGTAGGGCTGGAAGATCGACTGCACGAATGGATTCCTGTTGTGCCATGAGGCCACCCAACCAAGCCGGCATCTGCCCAAAACCTCCAAATTGAGCACCATTGGCTGGATTACCACCTCCTCCATCTGGGGGTCCTCCAGGAAACCCACCTCCACCAGGAAATCCACCAGGAGTCCACCTCCTCCAGGGAACCAACCACCCCGTCCAGGTGGTCCACCAGGAAAACCCCCTCCACAAGGATGCCCGCCTGGATGTCCATGAGGAAAGCCACACCGCCTGGGAACCCGCCTGAAAAACCATCTCTGCTTGACGGGCCACCACCACCTGAACAATTGCCAGCCGGATCCCCCACAATAGGCCATCCACTTCCACGACCATTGCCTCCAGCGCTACCATTTTGCCCTGCATCACCTTGTCCACCAGGATCACTAGGAGAAACACTGGAACTGCCTTCATGAACTTGACCTGGCTTCCCACTCTCAAGACAAGAACCTCCTTGGGTAGTATGATGAAGAGACTCACCAGCAGCCACGCTTCCCGACGCAACCACCCCCCTTCTCTTCGACAAAACCGGCCACCCGCGCTCTTGCTGCCGGATCCGAGGACCAGCTGGGGTTTGACGGACCTGCCCAACCTCTGCCATACTCCATTCCTCCTTGAAATGGAGGTGCAACCGAGTGGCCCCCACCCGAGACCATGTTTGAACATCTCCAACAAACTTCCCTTTGTCAATGAACCATACCCTCCAGAAGGCCCCACATCATGCCGTGGGAAAAATACCCCACTACCAACATCTGCAGGCAATGCCAAGGGTCCCAAAAGCCCTGGATCTTTGGGAGCAGCAGTCAACGAGGCCTTCATCACCTCCATGAACTCCCTTACCGCACGTCTCTCATGCCCCAACCCTTCACCCAAAACACTGCCAAGCCACGACTGCTGGGGTCCATAAGAGCATGGCTGCTGCCGCCACATGTTCTGACTGGCCATTTCAGCTTCCCGTTCTGTCCAGAGTCCTGCGTTCTCCCGCATCAAGTTGTTCATCATGACTCGAAAGGCCTCTGCCGGCTCCCTGGGAGGGCTAACTGACGAGACCTGCGGCGGGAACGCTTCTTGGCTCTCCTGAGGAAGGTGAGCTGGGCGGCATGCCCTGAGGATCGCTTCATCTCTGGCGCTTTCACTCCAGAAAGGATTGATCTGCGGACCAAGCACAGTTGGGGTACCTTGGGGACGGACCATCGCACCGTGCTCAGGCTGAATGTCCTCCAGGGCCTTTTGTCCCCCCGATTCTGGTGTCTTTTCGCTTGCTTGCTCAGACATGGCTTCAATCCCCGCGTTAGTTTGGGCTTATAACCCAGGAAAATGCACGAACCTTGTCGCACTCAAACTTTTCTTCGAACAAAAGGGCTGTCGGGTGTCTATGTCTCAACTCAACGGTCGATCGAAACACTTCACAAAGCAGGAGGGGAGGATTCTGCTATTATATGTATATATAAAAATATGCGGGCATGTATATATCCACCCAGCGGCAGCAAAAGACTCTAGAAAAGGAGGTGCCATATGTGATCATCATCAGCTCTGCCATGCTCTCCCCATTTCTCAGCCTCATGGTTTCGAGCACTTCCTCGACGATGTCCACTCCAGTGATATCTTGGTATCCATCATCATAAGCTTCGGACATAAAATCCTCAGTCACGTTCAATTGAAACCAGGCAAAAAAGCCCTAGTAGAATGATTGTATTTAGATGTATTTAGTAAAACTATGCACATCAAAAATGACCTCAACGGAGAACCCGTAAAAGTGCACTCCAGTCATCCACGCCGGAATTGTTGACCGAAAGTAAACGGACCAGACCGTCGGTTACAAAAGGGCGATCGTCGCTGACAAAACACCAAATCTGCGGCTCGAGGCTCGGCATCGCCACAGCCCAGATCCAAAATCCGCGGCCCAGGGCCACTTGCGCGCACGGCCGCGTCGAAGAAGCGGCGCCAGCCTGGTGGGCCGCGTCGGCCACGGTCACAACACGGTGGAAGTCGTCGGTGGCCGTTCGATGAGGCGAGTCGTCTGGTTTGGTTAGTTTGGTTAGTTTGGTTCGTCTGACGCTTACAGAACGGGGTCCAAGGGGTCCAAGTCTTAGAAGTCAAGCCATTCGTTCGACCCACGGCACTCATCACGACAAGACGAATACACTCATCACGGAGTCGAAGCTGCATCATCTACGAAGCATCTTTATACCTAGCGCTTCCAAGGGGTGCCCTGGCTGGAGGTCCCTGTACGTGGTGTAGGGGCTTCCAGCCAGGTGACCCCTTTGAAGGTGCAGGTTTATACTTGTTTGTTTGGTATATCCCAGTACCAGGGCCAAGTGGACGATGATCGTTAGGTTGGCCGACATCTCAAAACTCGTGATGTTCTCTTTTACCGACGGCTGGAACTTGTCTCCACCACTTGTCGTGTTGGCGATGTTCGTCCCCCCTTGATTCCACGTCCTCGCCTTGAGCACAGAAGTGCTGATAGGACAGGAGCCACTCCTGCAGCGTCCGCGTGGTTCGGAAGACAAGGGAAGATGTGTTCGGAAGTCTGCTGGCTGGTGATTGCTGCTGCTCAGCGTGGTCAGCTGGGTCTTTTTCACCGAACCCAAAAATGACTCACAAACCGGATGGGTCACAACATCTCTATTCCAAACACAACCTCTCCGGGACCATCTTGGCCGATTGAGGTCAATGTACTCCAGCCCCATGGAGTGTGATGGAGTGTGATGAGTCTGGACTTCTCCAGGCTCTTCTGTTTGACAGCTCCCAGCACCCAGTCTGGTGGAGACTGGAAATAGACATGGCCCCTAGGTCTTAACCTTCTGGTTCAAAGCCCAGACATCACAGATCAAACCATCCTCTGCCAGACAAGGTATAGCAGACGTCGCCACTTCGGGCCACACCATCCGAAGACCACAGAATGGCTCGCTCCTGCGGCGCCAACTCGCGGCCCCGCTGGTGCGTGTACACCTGCGACCGATCGGTCAGGTCAAGACTGTTCTGGGCGCTCAGAGCAGAGGTTCTCTGATCCCTTTCCCCACCTCGCCATACCATGCAGATCCATGCAAATCCATACTACCATGCTGCCACACTGATTCTCGCAACTTACAACGACATGCCAGACAGTCCAGACGACATGCTTTTCGGACCCGAAACCCGCAGACACTGCGGCGGCGTTTCCACCTCGGTCCAAAAGTTCACATCGCCATAATCCGGCAGCACCACGTCTGCCTCACCGTCTCCTTCCTCCGGCCGCTCCTCGACAGTCGAGCACGACAGTCGTACGCGCCACACGCGGACGGTGGGCCCATAGTGGAGAGGAGTGGAGCGGCTCGGCCTACAGAGCTTTAACGGATTGGTAGTTCGGGCCGCCGTGGTTTAAAGCTCTAAAACATCCGACGATATATAGGTGTCCTGAATTTCCTGTAGATCTTCCCTCGCAATTTGAGAAACGGACCTTGCAAGAGGCGAAGACCTCAGACCTTGTGAAGTTGGATCCAAGCGGAGTGAATGTCCAACGTCTCACTCCGAACCGATTTGGACGTCCAGGAAGGTCAACCCCTCTACGTCTAAGGTCACCGTCTTGAGTGATGTGTTTTCGTGATTCATGGCACAAGTAGAAAAAGCGCGCACTTCAGAATGCCCCCCCCGACATGAAAGGCAACGCATGGGAGGCATCCCATGTCCTGCTCTTCTTCTGAGCCACTGGGAGGCAACCAATCGTCGTCCATATACCCCGCCATGGCCGTCGTCAAGATTTGAATGTTTAGGATACGCCTGTGCAATCTCTGCAGGCATTGTTAGTTCGGCTTCTTTTTCGAAGTTGTAGAAACAGAGACTCTCCAAACGCGAGCCGTTCTCAGGTGACACACACACTCCACTCTTGCGGATCGAATCTCAGTTTCGACGGAGAATCTGAGAGATCGGCAAAAGATGATTGGTGCATTTCCTTGAAGCGATAAAGTGACAGCTGGCACTCCCAACACACTTCAAAAACTCCCGGGTCTAGCCTTCGTCGATTGATGATGTACTTGGTCGCCACCAAAAATATCCAAAAATAGAACTAGTCAGACTCGTCATCCCTTCTCTTGATGACCAATAAAGCGATTTAAAAACAACCACCAGGCAGGATGGCGCGATGCACTCCCCCCCTGGCACGCACGCACGCCCTGACCGGGCTGCCCCAACAGCATGGCTTCTCGGACTGAGCGACTCCGTAAGGCCGCGGTCTGGGCGTGGCGAGGTGGCCGTGGGGTGAGCTGGTTGGAGTCGATTGGAGGCTCCAAAGAAAAAGCAGCAGCCAATGTTTAAAAGAAGAAATAGTATAATAGTAATAGTAATATGACGTAATAATCATATATAATAGTCATAATATATACAATATTATACAATAATAACAACAATAGTAATAACAACAATCAATAAATGCAATCAGTAAGGCTCCCATGGGGCGCCGTTTATTTTTTTTGGTGCTGGGTCTGACCGCAGACCTCGGTCTTAGACCAGACGATCAAGAACGTACATTGTGCAAATCCCATCGTTCAGGCGCCTAATATTATAAATGTTGTCGCAAAGGACATTTCTCCAGGCCTCCTGAAGGACTTGTGCAGCAGCAACAAAAGTACCCACAGGCCCACAAGACCTCCCTGGCACAGGGGCGCTGGTTGGACGCGAAGTGCTGTTTCTCGCTGACCAAAAAACAGCCGATTCCCTTCCCTCGATTCCCGCCATGACTCGACCTCCCAGGGATCCATCGGACCTCGGCATCGGGTGAAGGTGGACGAGCAAGTCGGCTTCCGTGAGAGGGATACCGCAAAAAGGAGGCCCCAAAGAGTCGAGCCAAGAGGTGAAGTTCCGAAATCCCAGTCCAAGAATGAGCATTCCGGCTCTTCGCCCTTGACCATGTCCATGATGCTTCAAATACCAAATGTATCCAAATGTCCATGGAAATGATCCGAACCCTGGTCGTGCGTCCAGTGGACGGTCTGACAGGGTCTTTTTTCCGAGATTCGAGTCGACCGGAAGGCTCCCGGATCCCTCAATCTGAGCATCGTCGACCTGGGACTTCCTTGGATTGTAACCAGTGGGTTCTTGGTATCCACATTCTCCGTGAACTGTGCAGGGACTGTATGTACAGTATATCTCCTAGTCATCCTGAAATGTCCAACAAACAAGCCATTTCACAACAAGCATTTCCTTGTTGGGCCACCTGTCGGGCGGTTGTAAAAGAATTCAGGCTCGACGTAGCTGTTGGCGTTGAAAGTTTGCAATCACATGCGATCACCAGTCAAGCTCTCCAACTCTGATGAAACTCCCAGGCAGGAAAAGGGATCTCATCCTCCAGTTCCGAACATATCGCAACCATGCTCGTTCCGGAATATGACGGTCCCACCCCAAAGTGACTCTAGTCGAATCCCCAGCTTTCCAAATAGATCATCTATGGGAACCGATACCCTGGAGTCCAACCAAGCATTCTTTGTTATGGGGGGTTATCAAAGAACCCGTTTTTACGAAGGATTTTAGTCTACAGCACCATATATATATATATATTCGGAGCCATGAGTTTCCCTCTCACGCACAGAGTCATCCAACAGGGTTGTCCCAGTTGTCACCAGCATTCCTTCACTCACCCTACATGCTCGTCCTGAGAAAAAGAGCAGCAAGCCCATTGAGCAACAAAAAAACCTCGCTTGTCTCATGTTGTTCGGGTGTCAAACCTTGCTTTCGGGGGTAGGGTACGTACCAGGCAGATGTCTGGATCCACGACCACACGCCGTGGCAAGGTGCTGATTTCCAGCCACCTCAGAGCTGGCGAAACGACACGATGCGATGCGGAAAGCATCGTTGAAACCAAAGCACTTCGCAAAGACCACAACAGTGCAATGAACACATCCATACATCCTGTCTATCCTAATACCTGTAACAGTGGATGATGATGGTTAGTAAAGGCCTTGTTCAAACATAGCAATAATTGTTTACTGACTGTTACAGGTAAGAACGGACAGACCCAATGTCCATACACACAATCGCGATTGCATGGTTCACTGTTGTTCACGTTGCATTCGCATCGTGCAGTGGATTCTTCACAACAGATGAAGCGCCCTGGAAACCTTACATCCTTCCTTGGCAAAGATCGTGAAACAAGACCCTTCGCACAAAATTCATGTTGCATGGCCCACCGTCGAATCTGTCGAATCATGAACATGTTCAAAACCTGCCCAGGCAGGGGGTCGTCATCACTTTGCATTGAGTAGCAATACAGTGGTCCCCAAACAGATAGAAACGGTGTCCAATACATTTTTAGTGGGGATCCGGGATCTACTTTTCTATCTATTTGGGGGGTTGTATTATAATATGAGCCTTTACCACAAACATTTTAAGCCTCTTCATCATGAGCTGCTTCCGCACAAGCAGAAGAAGCAGCGCCTGCTGCCTGGTTTAGGCCATGGCGGCCAAACCCATACAAGCACAGGCTTGAATCCTTGCAAGAAAGGAAAAAACAAAACGTCTACTGTAAATCATTCCAAATCCACATCAATCCACCCAAACGTCTGAACACACAAAGCCAAACCCAAGCTGGTTGCTGGTTTCATTGGAACTCCAAAGCCCCATGGACCACTCCGAGCCACGCGGAGCACCCGCCGCCGCAGCTCCGCGGCGAGGGATTGACTGGCAGCTCCGGAGCTCCACGGAGACGACAACCCGGGGAGAAAAACGAGGGTTTTCGGGGCGTCTTCGGCCGTGTGAAAGAGTGGGAGGTGGGAATTTCTTCCGGTCTTTCTCCGTCTGAATGAATGTTCGATGTTCTTTTCGGGAGGTTCAAAGTCTTGGGAATTGTCTCTCCAAAGCCACCTGTCGAAGAGCAAGAAGCTTGGCGCGCCTTTCGAAGCCAAAGGTGGATGCTGCTGCATGAGCAGTCACCAGCTGTTCCAGAGTCTCAGAAAGTGGGCTGCGGTGACTGGTCGCCTTTCGAACATCCTAAAATGTAAAGACTTTACTGGGGAAAGTGCGCAGAAAACCTCACTTTTCATGCGCATTTCGCCAATGGCTTTGTTCGATGGGCCTCCGAAGTCTCCGTCCGAGGGCTCCCGGGCTCCCGGGCCAAGGCCCGAGCCCCTTGGACCGTGCGCTCCACACCCTGCGGTGGTGAGGACCGCAGCCACGGTCGGACGGCGTGAAGGGTGACAAACGAGTGACTTGGGTGTCACTTGGGTGAAGGTGTGAAGGTGTGGAAGTCTTGACGCGTCAATTCTGGGAAAAAGTAGGAGCAAGTTCGGGAGGTTTTCAAAGACGTCTTGGAAGGAGGGCACTCAGAAAAGCTCAAAGAACTCAGTTCCAGCTCAAAAAAGAATATCAATCTGCCATGTCCATTTATATACATGCCAAAAAATAGTTCGTTCAGAAGAGAAAATATCGATCTATTTTTCACCACGGGGAGGACCTCCCCATGGTCTCCTTCCCACGCGGCAAATTCCCGCTCCCGGCTCCCCGGCAGCCGACGCCAACTCCGCCTGCTCCGCAAACTTCTGAAGCTTCGATTCCTGGAAAATATTGCTTGGCACAGTCAGGACTGAAGCACGTGACCCGGCATGCCGGGCATGCCGTCATCTACGAAGGAGTCTGCGGTACCGTGCTTCTCATCAGCCACCCTGGTCTACCGTTGCCACATGTTGCCACTAAAAGGTGGATGGAAAACACCGAGAGGGTCTGTCGGATGAAGATGAGAAACGGATTTTTGTTGGAGTTGAACCTGCTGGAAGTCACCCGTCACAAATTCTGCTGGAAAAAAAACACCAACCACCAACCGGTGGTCTGCTTGTGCGACCTCCGTCAGACGGTCACCATCCAAATCCTCTCAGTGGATCTGATCGCCTGATTCGCGGCGTGTCACCGAGACGGTCGCCTTCGGAAGAGGATGCCAAGAAGCTGCCGCCAGCGCAGCCAAACAGCGGCTGAGCTCCTTGCCAAGAAACATCGTTGCTTGGAAAAGAAAAACATATGGCAGATGATGGCCAGTACGTATATAGTCATATCATGTCATATCCGACTGCGTTCTCTCAGAATTCATGTCCCTTCAAGCCTTTTCTCTTGGGGTGGGTGCCGGAGTCACCCTGCGTTCACCGCGAACGACCCCACGGTGGCCCCCGTCCAACGGTGGTCCCCCAACGGGTCGGAAGCTCGGAACGGTCGGACCTCCAGAGAGAGCTTCCAGGCAAGTCCCTCGGCCTTGGAGACGACTCAACGTCGGTCGATGAGTCGACGACGGAGAGATGTCGGTCGTTGACCGAGGCGGTGCGGCCGACATCGAAGGAAAACACCATGTAACCAGAGAGGAGTTTCCAGTGTCAGGTGTCCCTTCGTTTTTGGGCAGACCGGAGCATGGGAGAAGGAAAACCAGGTGAATGTCACAAGGGAGACGAAACTAAACGAATAGAGTCGCAAGTGGCTGTGCCTCTGATGCCAAAAAAGTTGTGTCCCCCTAAGCTGCCAGAAGCTGAACCAGCAGACTCACATTGAAAGCACCAGACATGGTGTCCTAGTGCACTTGGTGCTTTCGGGTTCAAGAATCAGCTACACCCACCACCAAACAGAAGCAGCTGCCTTTTCGCCAAAACGCCCCAATGGCGGTAGGTTCCACCAACTGGCTGAGCCGCACGGCCAGCGACTCCGAGCCAAACCAACGACCGTCGACCGTCCTCGGCATCCCCACGACGGACTCCGCGAGGCTCAGGACCGTCCGCGGCCGCAGGTTCTCAGGGTGTCCAACAGCAAACAGCGGAGAAACATCCGCGAACCAGTGTTCATCCAGGGGTGGGGGGCAGTGGCAAGGAAACCATGGGGGAGAAAAGACCAGACATGTCTTGGAACTGGGCGGATTGGTACAACATGGTACAACCATGGTTACCCTAATACTTTAGGAGACATGGCCATGTGAAAACCCCTGAACAAACAGCCACGGGTTTCGCACGTCGTGTTTTCAGTGATCAGTTCCGACTGGAAAATCTCAGCTAGCCCACTCACTCGCTTCAACCGCGGAGTGAGCAGTCATCGAACCAGTCCAGGTTCCAGGATGGAAGACTTGTGAATCCAAATCTTGCCAAAGTAAGGGAGATCATGTCACCTTCTCAGAACTATACCCCGACTGCGTAACATGGAAGTGGAAACCACCCGGATTGGCAGCAGAAAATCCTTC